AAAAAGGAAACACCTTTGAGTTCAACTGGGAGGATTTTTACACTGACTGACTACTTATTATAAAAATGCAGCTCACATAAACCTGTACTGGTTAAGTGTAATAGTTTGTTAAACCTTTTTTTTAAAATTATTGCCTATAATGGTTAATATTCTTGTCTTAAAGAAAAGTGAAGAATCTATAACTAAATAGTAGTATTTATTTATTTTATTCTAGTATATAAAACTAATAAATGATCTGTCTATTAACACAAGATTAGGTTTTAAATTACAGTAGATATGGAGTTTTTGTATAGCTACTGATACTTGAAAAGGTCAGGGAAATCCCAACCTCTTGTATTTATCACTAATATCGTTGCTAAAATGAAGTGCCAACCCTTTAGAGATAGTAATACTAGTAATACTAACCTTGATTGCTGGAAAGTTGCCAGCTCTTCGTCATCCTACAGAAATATATTATACTAGAATGGAGAAAATATGCAATTGTCCCTCCCCCTCCTTATTCCCACTAACTGGAACAGTATTATGTTAGCAGGAGTTGTACTGAGCCGAATCCAATCTGGAATTAAGAATGCTCCAGGACATTTTTAATAAACTGTCATTCATTTGAACTCTAACCTCCTTTAATTTGCAGAATCTGGTAACGCAGAGATATACTTCAGCCACATTCATTTCTTTTTCTTTTCTTATCTTGGTGTGAAACACTGCTGGTGGGACTTGAAAATGTGAAGCTGCAGACATAGTAGAAAGTGTTCTTTTAAAATGGTCTCAAAACAAAGAAAGAATTATAATAGTTTAGCTTGCTGGGTTTCTGCCATTCTGTAATCTAAACTTAATTCCAGTATTGATTTTAATAAAATCCTTGAAGTGCTGAGGTCAGTTAGGCTTTCTGAAAGTATGGAAAAAAATTAATGGCTTTTATTAGAAAATGCAAAGGATAAAATGAGACTGTTTTCTTGCAAAGGGGAAGAAAACCTAGTTAATAATGTATTTGGGGCATAGAGTACTTACTAGCAAAGAACTTTGTATTCAATGAGATTTTCAGAGTAAACTCTTTCAAAGCATGAATTCTTATAAATTCTATAGCTGGTATCTAAAACGGGAAAGTTTGTGATAAGAAGTAGTTAAACTAAGAGATATAGTAGTGAAAAAGAAGAGCAGGCTTTCAGGCAGTAGCTGTCTTACCAGGCTAGGTGAGGAGCTGCCCCTCAGCCCTGCGGGAGTTGGGAGAATATGTTACTGATCAACTAAAATTACTTTGAGAAACTTCTCTGTGTTACTGTGTAAACAAAGGTCTTAAGGATGCATATGTGATAATAAAGGTAGAATAGATATTTCAGTTTGGGATGGAAATGGCTGGATGATGTATTACAATTAAAAAATACGGTCATTAATATGAACTTCATCTTGATCCTTTTTATGAAGATAAGAGAAGTATGTAAATGTGTGACTTGGTCCTTATTGAACTGGTGCTTCACTGGGGGACTCAGTTCAATATCTGGACAGTGGAAAAACTAAAAGGAAACTGGAAGGCAGGACCATACCCGTGCTTTGGAGAGGAAAGGACTCCTGGACACAAATTATTCTCTAGATGAAATGCCTCTAAATTCTGGAAAAGAAGAACTTGCCATAGGCCATAATGCTAAAATTTTGTGGTAGTAGTATTGGATTTGTTTCCATTTCTTACCGTAGGACTAAGAGCCAGTAAATCAACATTAACGTTTAATTTTTTTTCTGCTTATTTATTTCTTATAAATATTTATTTATTTTTGTGCTTTATTTAATTCTTATATCAAAGAAGAGAACATGAAACGTGCTTACATTAAGAGTTTGGTTTATGTTTTACAATGCTTTTCCCCTCCTAGACTTTTATATCTAGATAATACTGCCTTCAGTGTTTAATGTTAATTTTCCACTGTAATATATCTGCTACAGCTAGGTAACAAACATGCTAAGATGATTGTGTGTGCAACTTCAACAGTCACACATTTCCATTCAATAGTAGTTCATTAAAAAAAATCAGTTTCTTCTGCACATGCCTGCCAGTTGAATTCTGCTGTAGGTGTTGGTGAGACAGTTAACTATGAAAACGTATTACAACTCTGAACTTGGGTCATATTCAAAAAATAAAGGAAGAACTAGCTGGCAAATACTGTGTTGAAAGTGTAAATTAAAGTATAACTTTCAGGTCTACACATGTTAACGATTTGTGGTTTAAAAAAGTTTTCATATTTAAATTTTTAAAGTTTTTTTTCCCCTCTCTGTTAAACTTTGATCTCTGTTGTCTGGTAATATAAGAGTATGTTATTAATATACATTAACAAATCCACAGCTTTGTTTTCCACAAGTCTTTAATTCCCTTAAATGTTTTAAAATATAACTGATGTGATATATTAGAACTTAGGTTGAGCATTCATTCAGTCAACAGATTGGGTACTAAATTCAGCTGAACCTGTAGGAAAAGGAGGGCAATGATACTAAAGATGTGGAAGTGCTACTATTCTGCCTTTTTATGTTCTCTTCTGCCAGACATGAAGCTACTGTCTCGAAACAAGAGTCTGTATGAATGAATTACTTTGCAGTCTTGGATCCTTACTACCATTTCCATTAATGTATGTTGCCTGAAATTAACTAACAGGCTGGAGCCTCAGCAGAAACTAGATACAGTTTTTAAAAAACAGAAGGACGAGCCTAAGAAATAACCCAGGACAATGGGGAGAAATGTATTATGTTTTAGTAGTTGAGGCTTGTCCTTGTTGGAGGCAGCATAGGTTTTTGTTCTTCTACTAAAAGAGAAGATGAAGTATTTGGTGTTATATAAGAAATTGAGTATATTTTTAAAGAAATATGATCTGTTACTCTCTATCTGTGTTTTGTTTTTTTTTTTTTTTTTTTTTTAATTCTAGAGCAGAACATTATTATTTGGCAATACTAAAGAGAGAAAAAAAAAAAAGAATTCTAAAGACTTGTGTTCAGAAAGCACTGTTACTTTCAGAGAACGCTATTCAAAAGAGAAGTAAACATAAGACTTGAAGAGTTTAAATTATACAGAGAGGGGTGGAATTTGGTTTTCTTAGCTCATTCAAAAATGAATCCTAGTTTTGGTGTTTTTTTTTTTTTTTTTTTTCCTCTGGGATTTAAGTGCAAATCCAACTTTTTAATTTTTTTATTTCCCTCAAGTATATTTTCTCTTTGCTTCTACTGTGAAAGTTCACTACATAGTCATTTTACAAAGATAGCTAAAGCCTTCATCTTTCTTGAGGGTTTGCTTTAATGGAATCTTGCACCTGCACAGACAATAACTGCACTATTTGCACTCCTTGCTGTTTCATTTGTATCAGTATTACACTGGTTGTACTTTCCGAGTGGAAGGTTGAACATCAGTAGTTTCAATGCTATTGGTAATTCTGATTCTGCATTCATAAAATCTAACTTCTTACGCACTGAATGGTACAAGATGTGTGCTAGTATTCCATTGATCTTATTAGAATATTTATAAAGATTCAGATGTAGCTGGTGTTGAACGGGTAAGTAATGAGTGTATCATTGTCAAACAGCGTGTGCGTCCTCATTATAATTTGATGAAGATTGCATTAATAATTGCGCTTTATTGAACCTGTTCTATAGGAGGCAATGTGTGTTCAAATTGAAAGAAAAATATGTGGCTTCTAAACAGTCATTGCAGGCTAGCAGGATTTAGATAACAACAAACATCAATTAAGCATGAACTTGGGAGAAAACGTTACTTTCTCTGTAGACGCTCTGATTATATGACCACAGTGGAGTATATACCCACAAAAGTGAACGCTTTTCCATGACTTGAATAACATGAGAAACTGCAATATATCCTCTCTCCCAATTCATTTTATTTAGATGTTCTTTCTGAAGTGTTGGCTAATTTATAAAATGTTAATATTTGGATAAAGGAGGTGAGAAAGAAAATACAGGAAATAGAACATGCATTATTTAAATCATTATATCTCATAAAACCAAATTAAATCTTTTATTTACTTGCAGCTGTTAATATAAACTGTATCATTTCAACATGGGGAAATCATACTGGTGTCCTGGTTACCAGAAACTATTTGTGACCCTCTGCTTCTGTGACTATAATGATTCACCCCACAAATTTTCTGCTGCCAGACAGGTGTCATGTGTAGTCTCCATTCTTTAGTATGTTATTTAAAAAACGTGATAGACTATGTCATACACTTTCTTTACTTCTGAATTTTATTTTCTGAAGAGATGAAGGTTTTCTGAATTCCTGCAATATGCAATTTATCCCACGTCCAGTTGACATTTACCAATGTTAAGGAAAGAGTGGGATTACCCTAGCTTTCCCCTATTTCATACTTAAGAGATTCTCAGAGTTGTCATGAGGAAAATGACCTGGTTGTTGTTAGAGTAGTAATAGACATTTTAATTTTGGAATCATAGAATAATTCAGGTTAGAAGGGACCACTAGAGGCAATGCAGTCTAAAGATCTGAAAGTGCCCAAGGACTGGAAAGTCTACGTCTTCCCTGGACGACCTGTTCTGCACAGAAGGATTTGCATTTTTTGATGAAAAATACAAGTATTGTCATGAGCAGTTTTGTATTAAAATATATATCTATATCTGCATCTAAAATTTCTGAAATTACTATTATGATGAGTTACCACCGCCCTGAATTTAAAGAATATAAATGGTGCAGAAAATATTTATACATTGTGTCTGTATGTGATGGTGTGGCCCAGGTGAAATAGGTTTCTGGTGATCTGTGTTAGTTCTGCTTTGTATAAATGTTGCATATTATGCGATGGATTCATGGAAACATAAATATTTTTTTGGTATTTAACATCTGCTTTTGTTGTTCATTTTCAAAACGGTTAAGATAGGATTGAGTAGCCATCTATTTAAAATAATTCCTTTTGTGTGGTGTTTTTTTTTTCCCCCTGAATTTATATAGATTTCAGATTTACTTATTATAAGGAATATGGACCTTAAAGAGTTCTCTCTCACAGGTAGAAGAGCTGATGAATGCACTGGAAAAGACTAGACAAGAATTAGATTCTACCAAAGCCCGTCTTGCCTCAACACAGCAGTCTTTGGCTGAAAAAGAAGCACATCTGGCTAACCTGAGGATAGAGCGAAGAAAACAGCTTGAAGAAATTCTAGAAATGAAGTAAGTACATTGATTTCTCTAATTTCTAGAAAAATTAAAATTACTACTTTCTTGTCATAAGAAAAGGGTCTTTTTTTTTTCCTGTGTTTTTTCTATGTATATATTTAAGCCTGAATGTAAGGACTTCTAATAATTGTAAAACTGTTAAATTCCTTTTAAAATATGGGAATGCAAAGTCTTTGTTTCAGAAGTACTCAGCAATTGACGTGAGGAATTTTTTGAAAGCTGTCCTTTTTTACGTGCGAATAAACTATCAGAACAGTATAACTTCCATGAGAAATTGAGGGTCTAAAGCCCCATCTTCCAGTGAGAATTCTATGTTGGAGTTTCTCTTAGAATCAAATTCAAGGAAAGGGTGGTGAAATGGCTGGTGAAAATTTTATTGCGGTGAATTGGTTAAAAAACCCCGCAAACCCAAACTGGCAACCTATTTGCGTATACATCACTATGTATAAGTGTACAGAACTGAAAAAGGAGGATAGACCTATAATTGAAGTCTAACTTCCTACCCGCAATAAAGGTAAGTGTCTGTAATTATGGGATGTTGAAGCTCTGACACGATCTTTAAAATTGGCAAAAAAGAGTGAACCTGTTATGACTTGGCTGGGCTGGGTAAGTATGTGGTTAACATTCAGCAAAGAAAATTCACAGTTGCAGTTTCAAAACTGTTCTATTGAGGGAGGAAAAAAAAACAACCCAAAATGCTTATATAACTTCAGCTAAATTGTAGATATCCTTAATAATGGTGTAAAGAAGACAAAGTGGAAATAGAGACATATGCCTCCTAGAGTTTTATAAAGGTAGATTTTAAGAATGGCTGCCATGTAGTATAGGTGCAGAAATACTGTAATGTAAGCGGGAATGTTTCCAGTGAAATCAAAAGAACTTCTGCTTTTGACTTTAATGAGGTCTGTATATATACAGAAAAATGGGAGCACACATGAATTAGAGTTGTATGTCATATTCTGTATTAGATGCATTTTTTAGTTTTCTAATTTTCTTTTATATGTGTGTGTTATTTCATCTGTGGTAACTCAGGTGCTCAGTGCTAGTATATTTCATGCAGTCATCTATTTTCTGTATAGTGCTTTGGTGTGTTTCTTTGAGTGCATATTTGGTTTTCATCTTAATGGTAAGATTTTTTTTTTTTCCCTTTTTATCATAATTTTCAATCATTAAGCAACACAGGGGAAAAAAAAAGCAGTATCTTTAATTCTATAATTGTGACTTTTGGTTGGGTACACAGAACCCCACAGAACTGTGTGTTAGTCATGCATCTTCAGTCTGGGAAGTGAGGTTGGCAAAAACTGGTGAAGTTTGACTTTTCTGTTGATAAAAACTCTTCTATTTTATGATTAAAGGACTGAGTGTTGCTAGTAGTGAAAGACCTAGTATCAAAGGTACAAGTCAGAAATAGTTTGGATTTAAAACTGAGATATAAACACACAGTGTGTTTTTACAGTATCAATTTTACAGGTATATAGTAAAATTTTAAATTAGAATCTAAAAATTTAAATTAATGAAAATTCATAGTTAAAAGTACTTTTTTCTTTTCTTTCAGTAGTCATTAGTATGGTTTCTTTTGTAAAAGACATTTCTCTTTTTTCTTCTTTGCCTTTGATTTCTCAATTGTCACTTTGTTAGCTAAGTATGTAGACCTTTCTGCCATTACCTTTTTTTTTTTTTGTATCTTCAAGAGAAGCATTTTTTTCTTATACAGTTTTCATTTTTAATCCTGAACTGACCTTAAATAAACTCCTTTACAAATCACTTCCCCTGAGATCTATGATTCAGCTAATAACTTCGAATTAGAACTCACATTCATTAAAAAACCCATATATTCTATTACTATTTTGAATTCTATCCTAACTTTTAGGATATGTGAAATATGTTACAAAGCTGAGTTCATATTGGGGATGGAATGAGACAGGACTTCCGTTGCTGGTCTAGGAGACATCAAATAGAGACAATGAACAAAACAAAATACATAAAATCACAACACAATTTTACTAAACAGAGAGAAAAAATAGAGTAATGGTGGAAATTCACATGATCATATTTTTTTTCTTTTTAATGCCTCTTTAACATCATTAGTACTGAATCAAAAAAGCAGAAATGAACATATCTATTCATTCGAGCTCTGTGTACATCAAGGGCTACATGACCGTTATTAAATATATATTAAATGTAAATCTTAATTTCAGATTATAAAATTTAATAACCTATACTAAACAACATAAATTAATAGATACACATGTATTATTAAACTTTTTAGAGAAATGATTCGGGTATTTCATTACAGTAGTTTAATTTTTTAAATTGCTTACTGAAAGAAATATATGAGAAATTTATAGAACTTCTGAGTTAAAACAGAATATGCTAAATATGGCATTACATTTTTTCTAATGAATAAAGTATTCTCAAAAACAGATTGTAGAAGCTGGGTTAAACCCAGACAACTGCTGGCAGAATAATGATAATCTGTGTTGTCGTAATATACTAAAATAATGTGTCTTCTCTCTGATATTTTAAGATAATTTATTAATTGGCAGCATTGACCATAAGTTTTATTTATAATATTTTTAATTTAATATTGAGTGATTACAGTTTTTGGCTGCTAGCTTTCAGTTAAATAGGCATGAACTGTGTGTTTAAGAACATTCATGATGATTTCCTATGCTTATATTATGTTCAAGTTCCAAACATAACTCTGCATTCTAGGCCCATCTGGCTGACATTGCCAAGATCCATCTTAATTTACTGGCTACAATCAGTTGTCAGTTTTAGATAACTTTTTCAGTTGTCGTTACATGTTCCCATATACATTTAGATATTTAAGGAAGTTTACAATAAAAATGGATAGCAGCTTAATCTTTTTCATTATCTGGTTGGTGTTTTTGAACTGGAAGCTAGAGAAGTACCCACTAAATGAAAGGTAATTTGATGGAAGGAGGTAAAAATCAAGTTATTCTTAACTTGATGCCAACATGTGACAAAATAAGATTTATTTTAAAGAATTCCAAAATGTTAGGTTTGGAGAAGGATTTGCATTTGCATGTTACTTTCTACATATGTGATATTTTTTTTTTTCTTCCCAAATGTCTATTAAAAATACTGCTATATTAGTTCTGGAGGAAATATTGTTGTTATGGTCATATTATTTTAGCAGTGCATGCATAACTCATACTGACATTAATGGAAGTTACGCATACATGTTAACAGTGAAATGCAGCATGTGTTCAAATCCATCATTTTGCCTAATTGACTTAATGCTTTGTGGTCTTTCTATCTCTGAGCATAAAAAAAAATCAATGCACTTATTATTTTTTTAATATGTGATAGTTTAAAAATAATCTGTATTGCAGTGTGACAAAAGGCATGTTAGTGGTTTGGGTTTTTTTTAATGTAACTATCATCTATAGAAATGTTTAAATTGGCCTGAACTTAAAAATTGGTAGTTAGAAATATATATCAAGACTACTTTTTCCAGACATTGTTTTTGTGTTCTGAGAGTCCACAAGAAGGAGCATAGCCTACTGAGAACTTCACAAAGCTTGCCTAGAAAAGCTTATTCATTTTGTAATATGAAGAGCTCAAGGGCAGGATAAGTTTCTGCTCTGTGATGTGGGGGGTTTTTTTTTTTTTTTTTCAGATGTTTCAGAAATGCCGTATTTGTGGGGCATACTTTCATGACCACCAGGCATCCACAATGCTTTCATACAGATGTCTTTTCCTGGATGGTGGTTCATTCCAAAACTCATAAACCTGCTTGTAACAAAATTAGGGAGCTGTATGGATAGATAAATGAGTATTTATATAATATTAAAATTGGGTTTTTTTATGTATGTGAAATAAATGCCTGTCCTTATGAGAAGTGGATTTTACTCTATGGGATAGATCATCTTTCTAGAAATAGTCAAAATTATTTTCCCTTTGAAAGATAGAAAGTTTCACCTTTAGAGTATATAGTTATAAAAGATAGTCTAATGGCATGTGAGGGAAAAGAAATAAGAATTATCACCTGTTTTGTTTGTTCAACTTCTAAATTATATGCATATAATCTTCAAGCTGCAACCACTGAAGTTAAAAACAAAATAGAAAAAACCCAACTCCCCTGCCAAGCTCCCCAAACTTTGTTATCAAAACCTGTTAAAAGCCCTCAAATTAACTTTCTGTGGTGTTTACTCTACTTAGAAATATGTTTGAATACAAGATTAAAAAAAATAATTTCCCTGTGGTTTTGCATTAATTTGATCTTTCAGTGACTTAGTTACATGTGACAAACACAGTACTTAGTAGTGAGTGACCATGGGATTAATCTCCCAAAAGACTGAACTTCGTGTTTTGACTTGAAGATCTGCAAATTCTTAATTTTTGAGATCCAACTGTTAATTGCTGAGTGTTTCCTTTAGCAGTCAACTCAGTAGACTCAGTGCTCTGAAGCTTTGAGAGTATCCTGAATGAAATTCTTGCCAAGAATTTGAAAGGTAATTTCCTTGACTTTGATAGAGTTCATGCCATCACCTGTGGGTATTGCTAAATCACTTTTGCTGGAAGTGACTGTGCCCTGAAATTCACTACAAATTTCCAGAAGAATATATATTTTCCCTTATGTGGAATAAATCAGATTACTTCAGTAATGAAGCATTAAAGATCTCCTAATAAAATAACCAGCTACTAGTCCTTTCATTCAATAACAAAAATAGAACATCGCTGTGCTATCCAAAAAAAAAAAAATTAAATTAGATTTTGCAGTAAATTTTCTTACAGTGACAGTATAAAATTAAACATCCCTTCCTTTGTTTAAGAATGTCCACCATTTTTTTCACTGAAAATAATAAATGAATATTGCTTATCTCTGCTTTTCAGTATGTTTACTTTATTCAATTAACAGCACCTGTGTATGGTCAAGGATGAAATATTTGTGGGAAGAAAGGGGATAAAATGTGTTTTCCACAAAGCATTCAGTCCCACCAGCTGCCACTCTTTGTAGAAGTGCT